GTTTGGGATGGGTGGAACAGGTGGGACAATGGCACAGGGTGAGATTTGTTGCTTTATTCTTGTATGAAATGAATACAGATGTGGCTAATTCCAATTCATGTTCTCCTTCTTCAGAGTCTGCCAGCAGCTGGGGCTCACTCAAGACACAAAATAGACAGTACTGACAGCAGGGACTGGTGGTGGCCAGGATGCAGGAGTGGGCATCAAGGAGAGCGTGCCCCTTCCCAGACAGTTCCTCCCATGTTACCTAACTCAGGTAAAGCTCTGAACTACACAAATATGGACAGATACACAGATATGGAAAGCACACTCACAAAGATATACATATAAATGTATAACATCTCTGCACCACCACAATCAGATGTGCTTGCATATGTTTGAGCACTTCTACACTGGGTATCATCCAACCAAACCTCTTTGTTTGGATAACTTCCCAGGCTTTGTTTCTCTTTACTGCAGAGGACACAGTGTAACCTCCATCCAGCCTCCCAAACATCCGGATGGTTGGGGCCCTGAGCAATCTGGTCTAGTACCAGACCTGGAGGTTGGAGACCCTGCCTGTGGCAGGGGGCTGGAATTTGATGATCCTTGGGGTCCCTTCCAACCCAAGCTATTCTATGACTCTATAATGATTCTGGTTAACTCTCTCCTAAAGACCCCACTAGACAACAAGATGCAGGAACTCATCTTTGCCTTGGGAATGCCTTCAGAACACACAGCACCCCACCTAGGGCACGGTCTGTTGCATCTGGGAGCTCTTTCTTCACTCTGCTACGTTGTTTTTAATCTTATTCACTCTTGACATGCCTTATGCCCATGGCTCCCAGATCCAGCTACCATAACAAGGTTTGAAGTTTTCTTGCTAAACATGTCAGACACAGAGCTTGGTGGCCCACTTGGCCAAGGGCCAAGTCCAATAACCACTGAAGTGCCTTTTCTGATGCTTCCCTCACTCCATAGTGCTTTCCACAAACCTAGGTTCTCCATTCTCAGGCATTCCTTTGCACTCCCCGGCCATGCCCTTCGCTCTTCTCTCCCTCAAGACTTGGCCTTCCATTGAAGGATCACAGCGAACCGCAGAACCTCAGCACAAGGCACAGTCTCAGCATCAGCTACAGGAGGAGCACGCACCCAACCCAAGGCACAGCCACAGCAAGGGCTGGGCACTGTGCTGCCCGTGGCGAAGAGTGCAGCATAGAAAGGACCCAGGAACGAGGGAGGCCAAAGTAGTACAGAGCCTTGCTTGGGTGTGTGGGGCCATCTGCCACCGCAGAAGTACAATGCCGGATTCTTGAAATGTAAAAATAGATCTCAAAAGCGACATGTTTTAATGAACTGAGCACAAAGGAACATGGGCGAAATAAACTGAAAACAGAAGCAAGGTTCAAGGAGCTGTTTGTTAAATGAGCACCCGGAGCCAGAATATGGTTTTGGTGCCGGAGAATGCAGGCGGGCTGCGTCCTGCGCGCGCCACGGCTCTTTGGGATGCGGGTGGGAGCGGGAGGGGTGAATGCAGCCCTTGTTTGTCCTCTCTTGAGGAATCTAATTATGTATCAATTGATTTCAAAGCCCGCAATAGCAACTCTCCGGCAAACACTCGCTCCCAGACATTGTCCCCGCTTTCGCCCGGTCGTAATTTATTCACCTCGGGTTTAAATGAGCACCTCGCACCGACCCCCCCCCCCCCCCCCCTCTCCTCGGGCGCTGAGCCTGGGGGAGGAGGGGCGGGGGCTCTGCCAAGTTTCAACCACCCCATACCCACGGGGGTTGCGGGCCGACCCTGGGGGGGCAGAGCCGTGCCCCCGCCCCTCGCGGCGGGCAGGGAGCCACGAGCCGGCTGTCATTCGGCCTTCTGCCCGGCTGCGCGCCGTCAAAGGGCCGCCCGTGGGCGGCAGAGCCCCGGAGCCGGCAGCGAACGCACTGGCGAGGCCGGGGGACTGCGCTCTGGTCGTGCCGCAACGGGGAGGGAGGCTGGCGGAACCAAACATACGTGTGTGTGCACTACATGCGCGCATAAAGTCGCGCAAATGCACGTTCAAACGGAAGCCCGGAGCTGCGCACATGCCCGCGGATGGGCGCAAATCAGCGCATGCATTTACGCCGTGCGCGCGTGCATGCACTTAAGCACGCACAAAGATGCGCGTACAGACGTGCACGGCCTGGAGGGGTCCCCTCGGGCTCATGCAGAGGGGGTTCAATGGGGCTGCCCCCACACAGAACCACGTCTTACTGAAAAGCCTGTCCTCCAACCGCCCCCGGCTTCAGTGCTCGTTTGCTCCGCGGAGAGGTGATTGGGGCACGATGACACGCACCCTCGCCCTCCCCCCCCAACCCCCTTCCGTATCTGTTCCTTGGCCTTCACTCCGATTCGCCCAACCTTCCCCAGGAAAGAGTCATGGGGAAATTGAGGGGAGTCGCAAAGTTCTAAGGCTGAACGCTTTCCCTTTAGCTTTGAGCCGCAGCACCCATACCCAGAAGAGACGAGCGCTCAGTATCAGAGCGATACCTTCAAACGACCCTGTCCCCTCCGCAACTTAAATAAACAGCATCTGGAAACCAGGCCGGGGCCGCCCGCCCCCACTACGGCCGCTCCCCCGCCGCTATTAAGGACCCATTACGGTGGTGGAGGCAAGGAAGGGGCAGGTTTAAACGTCCACCACCACCACCACCACCAAGCGTCAGACAATTTTGATGAGTGGGTTTTTGTCCGGATGGTTCGTAATGGTGCCTGTTTTGGGGTGTCCCGGGGGGTCCGGGAAGCTTTAATTCGCTCACAAAGGCTCATTTGCAGGTCAATGCCATGGCACACTCGCCTCTCCCCTTTGCCTAAATCTCCTTTTGTTCCCCCTCGCCTGCTCCTCATGCCAGATGGCCGCGGAAAATGCTAATTTTCTCTCTCTCTCTCTTCCCCCCCCCCCCCCCTTTTTTTTTTTTTTTTTTTTTGCATTTAATTGCGGCCCTTTGCAGATGGGGGCCGCGGAGTGTGTGCTTCATTCAAATGAGGTTTGCTTTTTGGTTTCCAGGCACGTTTCGAAAAGTCCGATGTGAGTCGGGCAGGGATTAGGTTGACAGGGAAGTGATCAGATTAAACCCGGCCCGAGCGCGGCCGCCTCCCTCCGGCCCTGCTCCTTCCCCGCCCTCCTCCCAGGAAAAAAAAAAAAAAAAAAAGGAAAAAAAGAAAAAGCTGCCTTCTCTCTGAGAGATTTGGGATGAAATTTGCTTGAATTCAGGCAGGAAAATCCATCTTCTTGGAACAAAGGGAAAATGACTGCTACCTAAAAGGTTGTAGTGAGGTGTGGGTCAGTCTTTTCTTCCAGGTAACCAATGATATGATGAAAGGTATCAGCCTCAAACTGTGCCAGGTTCACGTGGAATATTAGGGAAAATCTCTTATCGGAAAGAGCGTGAGGCATTGGAACAGGCTGCCCAGGGAGGTGGTGGAGTCATCGTCCCTGCAGGTGTTCAGGAAGCCATAGAGATAGGATACCAAGGGATGTGGTTAGTGGGCACGGTTGGACTGGATGTTCTTAGTGGTCTTTTCCAATCTGAATGATTCTACGATCTTTCTATCCCATTGGTTGGGATGGAAAAGACCCTCAGCCCATCACTGAACCATCCTCATGGTCCAATTTCTTAATCTCCAGCCTGCACACATGTGGCAAAGTCACTGGAATCACTACCAATCAGTTGGTTCTCAATCCCAGAATCATTTAAGTAGGAAAAGAACATCCAGATCATCTAGTCCAACCATCAACCCCATGCCCACCAAGCTGTGTTCAATCTCTAACCATATTTAATTTTTTTTTTTCCTATGGCTTCTTTCCATAAAGCAGGCTGCTTTAGTTGCTGACTTTGGAGCAAGTTAGCCAGCAGCTAGGCCTAAATTACCTCTGGTTATCTGTAACCAGGTGTGGTGTGTGCTGGGAGTTGTGGGCACCTGGGGCTGCTTATGATAAGGGGTAGCTGCTAGATTGGTTGTCTGTATGCATTCTGTGCTTCTGAGTTTTGAATGATGTCTATTGCGACTTTTTTTCTAGTGCTTAAAGAAATGCCTGATATATATATCATCGTATGTATATATAGAGAGAGAGAGATTTCTTGACCTTTAAGAGGGGAACTTCAGGCTTGGAACATCAGCTTTGGGACCTTGGGGTGAGGAGCTCAGCACTGCCTTTGCCTACCAGGTAGGAGCTGAAATTGTATGTATGTGTTTATTTTCTTGTTTCTGTGCCTGCAAGGGACCAAACTGATCTTTGGAAGTGAACAATTGCACTATGCTGGATTTTAGCATGTGACAACTCATGAATGTGTGAAAAAAAATAAAAGCAAATCAGGGTAGATGAAGACTTAATCCTGGTATCTCTTAGAGCTTCAGCAATTATTCTCTCCTTATTATTTTATTTTCTAGTTTTTCAGTTGAGGTTGGGGAGGGGCAGGCCCCGTCTTTCTGCCTTTCTGCTCAAGTTAGATTTGTTTCTCTAAGAATTCAAGAACATTTATTTGCTTAAAGGCTTGCCAGTGAAAAGGCCCCAGGTCTAATCCCCTTTCTGCTACACACCAGTGCAATTTAGGGAACCCTTTGCCTATTGACTTCTTCATGTGGAAACCGATCCACTGAAAGCAAAAAGGAACCGTTTCTTGTAGGGGGGGGGAGAAAACCTCTAAAATTCCATTCTGAAGAAGTCCTCATCCTTGGCCCGTGCAGTAGCAATAGAAGCAAAGGCTTTTTGATCCTCACATTTGTAAACTTGTAGACATAATAATGCCGTTTCTCCAGTGTTAGCAGGTGTCCTGTCTGGAAGCTGCTGCCTCAGTCTCCAGCAGAGCTGGGAATTAGAAAATTGTCTGTCTTTCCTGAACCGTGAAGCGCTGCTCTTAAATAAAGGCCAGGTCAGATGTTAAAGGGACATTCTTGTCTTCTGAAGCCGAAATAATCTACAGTCGCATCGAGAAATGAAGGCATCCTCCTCCAAAAATGGTCAACCTCTTTCTCTCCCTTTATATTCCACAGGGTCACGGCAAGCTCCGTGCGTGCAGATGGATTGTGTGTCTCCACAACCCATAGCAAAGCAAGTATATGGCTGTGCTTTGGGGCAGTACAGTGACTGGGGCAGGCTGTGCTCTTCTTTGTGCCCTCTGCTGTCCTTCCTCTGTCTCTGATAGAACAATGAATGCAGATCACACTCCAAATATACATTTTCTATTTTCTCTGTGCTCATTAATAGATCTTAGACAATGTGCTCTCTGAGTTCTGTTAAGCAAACTGAATGTGTTTTAAGATGGCCAGACTGTGGACACAGCTGAGGTTTTACAACAGGTGTGGAATGCCAGGCAGAGAAGCCTGGTTGCAAGCATTCAGTCTTTGCACCAAACATAGATGTTCCTTCTTCTGGGAGCACATGTGATGTTGAGTGTGCAGGACAGAGAGATGGGTTTGGCCTAAAATGGGCATTAAGAATGGAGAACCATTGTGTTTCCTCAAACCAGGGAGAGCTGAACCTCAGAGCTGTCACCTGGAACGTTGGGATCTGGTGCTGGGGGCCAGAATCTGGCATTTTAGTACAGTACGTGCAGGATGGGGGGAGACTGTCCCAATCCCTTACCTGGATGGAGGTGGGGGAAAAATGATGGGGCAAGGTGAGAAACCTCATCAGAGCTCCCTTTGTGATTTCCTAGCCTGCAAAACCATTGTTGGGTTTCTTTTCTAGGTGACACCAAGAATTGCTCCAACATGGTGGAGCATGGCTGGTCTCTGGCTGTGGTGTTTGGTGCTGCAGGAGGATGGGGTGGGACAGCAAGGCCGCAGCCAGGAAGGGAAATGGGGATGGTGAGGGCGAGGGAAACCCTTGGCTCTGCCCCCTTGTGTCTGCACATGATGATAAAATCTTTTAATTAAATGATTGCACTGAGTGCACAGGGTGAACGGCACTCGCCTAATGAGCAGTTGCTCAGTTTTGCTTTTTCTCTCTGTTCAATGGACGGTGCTGGGTCCTATTAACCGTGCACTGTTCAAACCCTGCCCAACAGCGTCGTGGGTTTCCCCGTGGGGTTGGTGTGGTGCAGCTCCTGGTGGTATCGTGGTGCCTTCCAAGCATGAATGGATTGATGTATAAATGCTGACTGCTACTATTTCTGTTTGAAGATGGGGTGGGGGCGGCAAGGGAGGGTGTTTATGGGGGGGATTATTACATAATCTGTAATTCCTCCCCATTGCACTCCCTTTGCCACGATCTACCCAGCAAGTCCAGTTCTCTGTGAGTGAATTGGGTGTTCAATTTTATTTTCATACCAAAACATAGGAAACCTCTCTTAACATCAGACTGCTTTCCTCATCCTGTTACCTACACCTCCCGCTCATTAGGGACCAATATTTGCTC